TCTTCACACCCGCGCGTGTTCTGGTCTGCATATAAACAGAACCCGTGCCCGTCCGCTGACCGTCTCGGCCGATGACTGAGGCCTGGGAATGGGAATCGAGAATGAGGTCGGCGGTTCAGCGCACTTGGAAAATACCGGCGAAAGGGGTAGTCCCAGAAGGTAATTGACGAGAAGCAGATGCGATCGCTGCTATCTTTCTTAATTGAGAAGTTAGTGATAATACTTGACTGCTAATTATCGGCTTACCCAGAAGTCAAGTTAGGGGAACGAACGTTTTCGATTAATTCATTATCAGGCAAATACAATAACAAGGGAGAATAGAGTTAACAAACGTTTAAGTAACCAATCAATAGTACTTAGGCGGAGAGGTGTTAAGGGGTCAGATTCTAGTCATAATTGGGGACCGGAGAGAGGAAGGTTTCCGACAATTAATTCATGTCGCCCGTCGTCCCTGTTCGCGGTTTGTTAGGAGGCGTGCGGACACAAGATTTCATGGTCTGGTGACGGCGATCACAGGGAGGCACGCCGGGAATGTAATTTTCTGAAGCAGTCGACTGGTCCTCAATGATTAATAAATTTCAGAGATGATACCTATGTAAGCATTCAGGAAGTCAAGTTAGGCGAACGAACGTTTTCGATTAATTCAGCATCAGGCAACTAAAATAATATAAGCTAGGGTAGATTAATATAATCATACAAATTACGGTTGTTGCTACAGTTCGCAGATCTGTTAAGGACATATATACGTGGAAAAATATCTGAAAGTTCCAACGGTGTCAGGCAGCAATGTATTTTGATCTAAATGCGTCTGTAGTAGGCTTGTAAACATGAATTACAGAAGCGAACGGTATATGCGCTATTGTATGTTGACTCGGAGGTCTTTTACGTGCTCGATTCAATCTGGATCTTCCCAACTGTCCCAATGTGTGCTTAGTGCCACTTATATGTCCGGTGTATATACTGGAACTGCAATCACGCCCCGCTGTGTTAAACCGCCTGGTGTGTTTGTCTTGTTCGCTAGCTGTCTCCTAGGCGTAAAGTGCTACTGCAAATTGGCATCGGTGGGTGGTTAGAGGTTTGAGCGGAAGTAGACGCAATTGCTTGGATAAAACTTTGTTAGCCTGAAGTTTCGGATTCCAGTTCGAACCCATCTTCAGAGACAGCATCAGATAGGGGTAATCCGTACACACTGAGTTGTAGTATTTATAGCATACAATACCTTGGCCACTGCATACCTATGACAATTAATAGCTCTTCATCCAGGATGATTGTCCCCTAGTGCGCTAATTGCTTGATGGTCAGCGTTCAGGCCGTTATCTTATCGCAGAGACTTAAGGCCTAGCAACTGCGATATTCAGGCCCGATTCCTTGGGAGAAGTCATGGAGGCCAGAGTAAAAGGAACAAATTAATGTCTACAGAAGGAAATGAGAAAAGGTAGAAAAAAATTGA